TGACAAGTATGCGAGTGAGAGAAAACAATTCAACTGGAACACTACTCGATTTATTCTCAATTCCGATCTGGTTCCCAATTCTTCGATTTTAGATTAGTGTAAAAAGGTCCATGAATAAATAGATGACCACAACGTACAATAATTAGGAAAATACAATTATGTCCAAAACTGTAGATCAGCGTAGAAAATAGAGTACAAAATAAAACGTTTAAATTACAATAGTTTTGGAACAAAAAAGGCTATGTCAGTGAATCATACATCAAATGAAAGCGTATGATATGTAGAATAGACTAGGGTACAAAAATAAATGTTAATGTTTTACAAACTTTGAATTAAATGAAATAACATCCCGGAAAATAGTCTCCGTAGTTTGTCAAGGCTTCTTGTTTCTCTGTTCACATCAGTAAATAATAATGAAAATTTCTAATGAGTCTTAAAAATAAGTATATAAGATATTTTAACATTTTATGTAGATTGGAGAAAATAAAGAACACTACAGTCTTGAGATGTACCTCGACTGACCACTTAGTAATTACCAACGTCTTATTATGGAAGTAAAGGGTATGTGATTATCAAAGTATATGATTTACATCAATAGCTTATTTTAGTCAGAAAGTTAATGAAAATTAAGAAGTACTTAACAGCTATTTAATCACAGTTTGTGTATCCATGACCCTATCGGGAATTGAACTCAGATCCTTAAGGGTTTATGGCGTGTGCCCGACTATTAGACAACTGAGTCGAGATCCGATGGTTTATATTACTAATTTAAGTCAATTGGTTAAATTGTGCAATTATTTGTGCTTCAAACCCAACATAGCTGAATCCCAAGAATCACTTTACGAAATGATTCACCAGTGACCATAGGAACATTATTGATGTAAAAGCTTTATGAACATTGTTCTCTGTTTTTTTACTGGTAGGATGTTTCCATTTTATTTGTAGATAATACTCGTGAGCTACTAGTATTTGATAACAGATGTCTTAGAAATATTGCCCACATCTTCTGAGATCATCGGGTAAGTAACAGTAAACATAGACGCGGGGTGTTAGGGGATGATGGTAAATCAGTTGATGAGGTTGTGAATCTACATCGACTGGGATTATATGGCCACATATTACGCATGCCTACCACGGTGTGCAATACTGATTAGTGTTGGAGACGGATAGAAGAAAGCTGGGGATGGCCAAAACAAAACGTGGCATCAATCCATAAAATCATTAACTTCTGATCTGATCCATGTTGGTAGATGCACACTAATTAGTTGAGGTTCGCAAGACTATCGTAACCAGCGGTTGGAGACTCTGGGGGACATGGCTCAGAATCGATCATAATGGCGTAGGTGTATACACTCTTTGTCTTCCCTTAAACCGTGAGATGAAAATTACATCATACCTTATCATCAACGAACTAATTCCTCCCTGTATCACATCTTTACGTGCAATCTTTTTTTATATATTACTACCACTGAAGTAAGTGCTGCTATGAATTTGGTGTTCATCTTGTTGTGCTAATGAGGTGTGGCGGCTTTGACCGATGCATAATGTGCCTTGTCCTACGTTATGGCTCACTGAATCTAGTTGTAATATAGTCACTAACCTGAGTGAATCAATTTTGAACTGTGACTATTTTGGTGCTAAGTGGTTAGAAGCAAGTATCAGGAAGCCGTAGATGGCTTTTATGCTAGCCAGAACCTGTGGACAGACCATTTTGGTGCTCCTGTGACATAAATGTAATGACAATCAGTTTCCACAGGCGTACAAATATATCTTGCTGATGAGTGTTACAAAAAATAGGGAATGAGAAAGTCAATACATTATGAAAATAAATCTCAACAACTAGTCAACTTGGAAATAAAATGTTATGAGAATGGATTTTTAAAAAAGGGGGGACAAATCAGTTTATTGCTAGAGGTTTAATTTTTAAATGTAACACTCAGCAAGTCGTTTACTATCTTTGTTGTTTAAAATATACGTCACATTTTTCTCCATAACATATATAACATAGATACTGTTCTGTAAACGGACTGAATATCGACTGTGTCAGATATCAAAACTTTCAATCACTAATTAATGAGATTAGTCAGTACCTAATAGAGTTAAGACATATATAGCCAATTCTTAAATTTCGGAATCCAATAAAGTATATCTCTCCCTTAAACACTCAATAAATCCTTGAATACACTAGTATAATATTTTGAATGTCAATGGATCATAGTGTGTGGATAATCAAAGAAAGATGCACTGTTTAAGGTAAATACTACGTGGATGTGTTCCTATTAATCTGAAAATAAAGAATATTTGAGCAAACAATTGTTTTCAATAACTTTATTACCAGGCTCCATAATTACTGCGATATTTTACAAAGGTCAGAACAAGGCAAATACTAATGAATTTGACAATATACTATGGTGGTGGATTTTGCATCCTGAAAATTTGGATGTTTGTATCCAGGATTACCAATAGCTCAAACTTAATTTGTGCAAAGACGTTTGACTACTTATTTATTTAAAAATAGTCAAACTAGGCAAACATCCAAATATCTATGGTTCAGAAAAATGGCGGGAATAATACATAAGCGTTTGAATTTCCCCGTACAAGTCTCGATGTGAACATCAACATAGGGATACAGGCGAATTCACTTGAAGAGTCTTAAAAACAATATGAACGTCACATCTTGGTTGCTACTGTTAGTCACGATACAACAATGAGTAGAAAGTTAAATGCAACAAGTCAAACGTTTGTAATGATACCTAGTTAAATGTAACGTTCAAAAATGGTTTTTCAGATATTTTGTTTTATTAGGAAATTTCGTGTCTAAAAATAAACTGAGCTGTTAAGCACCTTACAGATTATACCAAAATGTATTTCATCAACTTTCTAATTTGTTAAACATCTAAAATTTAATAACGACCAAATAAGTTTCTTCAACGTTAACATATAAGTAAACTTCAAATAACCGGTTGGTCTACAGACGTTCATGTTGTTTTCTCAATCGTAGCCCGTGAATTAACGTGGTGAATAAACTTACCCGTGGCGATGGCTCAATCGAGTTACGTTGAATGGAACATTTATTCCCCTAGGTCCTATCATGTTTAGCAAGTTGGCTGGAAAGCTATCAAAAGGAAACCATAAAATCCGACATAGTACACCTCACCTTGCCCCACGGATTTCCTTAACTGGAAGTGAGTCACTTAATTCATCTATTTAATACAGACAGTGTGGTACAACTGGACAGCAGAAGATGGGTATAAGCAACATAAGCAAGGAGACAAAATTGTGAAGAGGTAAATGCGGGAACAGGAGTACAAACAAAGTAAGCAACCACGTGAACGAAAATACTATATAGTAGGAGTTATATTTCAGACAAAAATAAAACCAAGAGAAACGTCTCTTGGTTACGGTACTTAATCGCATTTTTATGAACAACGTAGAAAAGCGCAACAGGACAACTGTCATTGGCTTCTATTCTGAGCCATGTCTGATAATATTTCAAGCCACTGAAGTTGATTCATGTCTCGGACACCGAATAGGGAGTTGTGATGGACCGACAGATGGCAATCATATACAACTAGGCTGTTATGAAATTACCACTCCTCCGCTTTCCGCGCTCAGTACTAGCAAATAATTTTACATATGGTGAACATCAGGATGATATTCATAAAACAAATCAAAACTACTGAGGCCAGTATTTCAAAGTAATGACAATGATTTAATTTTCATTACTGTACCCGAACACAAATTGGCAAACTGACATTCTGTTGCCACTGGACGTCAGAAGTCCTTCCATCCCTACAACGGTCGAATACAGAGAATCGCCAGACATCTTCGGCTGGTAGAGACCAGGTTGTGCAAGCTTACAGTAGTACAGCTCGCACTGACACGTAAACCCGAGCCCTTATAAGCAGGCTAACATTACAACAGAGCGAAAGAAGGTTCAGATCGTCACAAGCCATTCTGGCTTTCACTATGCATAGATTGATCTCATGATACGTCAACACCAGCACTCAGCTTCCTACTAATCATGAATAAGTATTTCGGATTTGGAAGGTGTAAGACACATGCTATGTTTATAAACACCAAGTACCAATTGAAAAACTGAGGTTTGAATTAGTTCCATGTCATCGCACAATAAGACAATCTTATTAGCATACAGAAGGTAGGAAAGTCATTTTACAGTTAATCCTGTAATGGAGAAAGGTGGTTGCATACCCTCACTCTACCTGGGGTATTTGTGTATGGAGCTTCCGAGATATTAATAAACTTCACAGAAAAATCCTTCCCTAGAAGACAATCTCAAAGCATGCTTCTATCCGACAAATCAGAGACAACCTTAATATCAAGAGACATGAAGACTGTTGATCTGCAATAAGTATGATAGTGGTCTAACATTTGGAGGAGAGTGAGTAAGTGATCAAGACCTTTAAAGCACGCAGCTAACACAATAAATACTACTCAGAAAAACGTTGTGTATGACCAACTTCAAATAATTGTCCGTTGAGCTCCGAAATCACGTTTTCAGGTCACCAACATCACTACTATCTATTAATCTATTTCCCTTTTTAGGTAGTTCAAGAAAAAGTATCCATATCCATACCATTTTTATCTATTAATGAAAAATAATATGAAAGTAGACAAAAGTAATATACCAGTTCCATAAGCATAATACATATATTTTGTTTCACCAATACTAGGAATTTCCACAATCATATTGCCAACAGGTAATTGAACAGTCTTAACATCAGATGACTAAGAAATGAAAAGAGACAATAATAAATGAAATATAAACCCTTTTAATAAAGTGAAGTATATAAAACTTCATTATAGTGATCTAATTAGTAAAACATAATTTATCAGATTACATATTGATAGGATATCAGAAACATGTGAAATTGTTAGATTCATTGGAATAACACACACGAGGTCGATTACAATTGGAAGACTATATATATATATATATATATATATATATATATATATATATGTTGGAATATCTGGATGTGAATGAATTAGTGAATCCATTCATGATTCCCTATGATAACTAATAATAATTAACGTATATTTAAGGAAAAAATCACATCTCATGTGATGAATTCAGTAATAACAGTCAACTGTTAGCACAAAAAGGTATAAGAATGACCATGAGAAAGAGCTTATATCTAACAAATATACAAAATGAATTTCTATCAATGAATGCTAATCACAGCTTTACTACATAGAACGTTCTTTTTATAGCTATCAACTGTCGTCTAATCGCTACACTATTCGTATATTTTTTTATGATTTGTTTATTTATTTTAAACACATAAACATTGGTACAAAGAAGGACTAACATATATATGCACCACAAAAATTTTCCTATGGGATATATTAATGTTCCGGTGCAAAAATTGAAACAGGTGGTCTTCTTAAAGAACCACTCCGCGAGCTTTAAGTTAAGAGGTTTAATTCACAAGGCAGTGCAGCAAGGTTAGGAGATCCAGTTCCATGGTAACCAATAGCCAACAATAAGTTTATACCTTATTTATTTCCTCAGGATTTTGGAGCCCGTATGTACTACTAGCTTGGGGTTGGAGTTTCCCAACTCCCTTAGGTGGACCCTCCGTAACCACCAACACAGTCTAGGTACGGTACATCCACTTTTCTTACTCTCAATTTTGTAAACAACAACTTTCTGTATGAGAGCATTTCAAGAGCGAGCGAGCTGAATCTCCTCACCTTCGACATTTGAGGGCCTGTTCTTATAGGTAAAGGATAACACGAACTTCTAGACGAGATTGAATAGACCCGTAGTAAAATGGAAAGATAAGGAGATATTCTAGTGTCTAGTTAAAAAATAGTTTGGATAAAACAAAACGTAAGTCCTACCAAAATTGTTGATGAAAACTAAGCTTAACAAATTGAAGAAACTATACTTGGCCGATGAACCAATCATGTTTCAGAGGCCATGTGTATTTGAAACTAAAATAATCACTTTAGATCAATTCATTGGGAATTTCAATAATTCTATTATTCAGTATTCGCAAGATTTTAGACTAATCAGAACTATTACTACTTCTGGTTATGAAAACTGAATAATTACAAAAAAGCACAGTCTCATGGGATGAGGTAGTATAGTGCTGTACTGTGTATTGGATAAAGAAAGCAGTACCAATGCAGACAGATCATGTACTAATTATGACTAATGAGGACACCAGCGGATCACCGGAGTATCAAGAGTGCAATGACAATTTATTAGATATTCACTTTGAAATTATGTCGATTCTAAAACTACAAACTTGAAAATGTCGGTCGAATGGTTCAAATAGACGAAACTGTTATCCGGAAAGTGAGGTGTAAAGAAGGAAAGAGTCCACTGATAGAATAGATGAGTAGTATTGTGTTCAATCTAACTTGCAGATTTTCATAGTTCGTAGAACTCTACAAAAAGATCACTTTTAATACGCTAAAAATGAATTTCATCGTAATACCTATCATTAGAAAGTACGTAAAACGAGGAACTACGATTTATACTGACAATTAGGGAAGCATACAGATGTCTTCGAAGATTCATTTGTAATCATAAGGTGTCATCCATAAGAATCACTTCGTGAACTGACTATATTGGGCATCATAATATTTCCAAGGAGTACAATCAACTGAAGTAGTATAGACAAACCTTCATGAATCTATAAATCATGGTAAAAGATGTATATACATTATGATTTTTCTTTCATTCCCTGTAATAACTTATCGACTTATATCACATGCAGTCCAGATAAATCTGGTTAAAACTACTCAATACTACTTCTAAATTTGCTCAAATTCATCCCTATACCTTGGGATGGAACAATACTTTACTAAAGTATTTACAACTGATCGATCATTGGATAGTGATCAATATTACGTGTGTAAAACCCTTCTTAATGCAGATCGAATTCCATCGATCAAGTTTCAATGTGTCCATCAGTCTAGGGAATTAATATCGCATTCACTATGTTAAGACATAAGGTGGTAGGACTGAGATATTTACAAATGATTGATCTCTGATTAATAATCAATGTCATATAAATACATCTTAGCCCTACAGACCAGTCGCGAACCGAACAGCTCGACGATAGCATCTCTGACTGTGAAGTTGGAAAAAATGCCTAAAGGAATAATCAACTCGCTCAAAATTACAACAGACACATCCTGCCGATGAGTTCCAATGAACACAAAACCCAGGTTAAACAGAATTTCTTCTCAATTACCTCTAATCATTCACTACTTTACAATTAACTAACCAATATTCTTCAATTCTTTATAATTTTTTTTAAATGTTATCACAATAAACATGATGAAAATGATAGTTAAAGCAGAAAAATACCTAAAATTGAAAATATATAAACAAACAAACAAATTTTATACAAAAACAAGAGTAAAGATCTATTTACCTTTGTAATATTCATATTCAAATTTTCTTTCAGTGTTTTGACCAACTAGTGATTAAAAAGAGGATAACAGACGATTCTAGTACTGATACTAATGATACTACTACTACTACTACTACTACTAATAATAATAATAATAATAATAATAATAAAACTAGTTATTAACTTGGAAAACCGAAAAATCAATACTTCAAAAAGATCATCATCAGGTTACTTCAAAAGTTAATTGTAAATAGGAAGAATGCTCTATTTTAATTCAAAAATTACAGAGCTCACTATATGAAATCTGTGATTTGGAATTTTCAGGAAAAAAATATATATGCTGTTACACTACTAGAATCTTAAAAAGAGAACATCAGTTCATTCAGAAGATTACACAATTACATCTTGTTGTCAATTGTTAGCTATAATATAAAGCCTATATTGAGCAAGATTTATAACAGATTGATCGTCAACCATTAAAATGCTATATGATTAGTTTGTAGTAGTTAATTTCATATTGTTTAATTCTTATTTTTCAATTAAATTCTTTTATTCAACCTTAAGTATAATTATCAGTCTATTAGTTATTTAACGTAAGAACAATGTAACTCATTTATCAAATACAACTTTATGCATTGAACTATTAACTAATTTACCACGTACAAATTTATGTATTTGGCTTTAGGTTTCATTGAAAATGTGATTGTTGATGATACTATCCAGTTGCTAAATCGAAATAAGTGGGAAAGAGTTCACATATGTGATATATTGGTTGAAAGCTGATTGGCTTAACCATGAAGCTATCATTCTAACTGAACATTATGTCAAAACCAATCATATTAATCGGCTCTTTAATGCAATGAAGATAGAGAGGGGACCCAATGTACATTTTGCATGTCAGTCAGTAACAACGTAGAACTTCGTACGTGCGTACATCAGTTCGAGTTGCCACACCACATTAGCACAGAGATGCAGTGGTTGATTCAAATACCGTAGTGGTAGAGGTAATAAGAGTATAAGCAGTAATCGAAAAGATTGGTGTTTGGAGATTTTACTTAAAGAGTACAATACAGTGAAATAAACTTGGGAAGAGAAAAAAAAAAGACAAGGGGGAATCAGGAGATCAAAATTTGGGAGAACACAAAGAGTGGATGCACCTGCGCCATTGCAAACGATTTTGAGCCATGTCATTCAAGGTCTCTAACCATCGGTTGCTATCATCTCGCGGTCCCCAACCAGGTAGTCTACACCTACCAACATGACTCAGACCACTTGTCAGTGACTTCATGGACTTGTGCCATGTTTTGGTCTAGCCGCCCCTAGCTTTCTTCCAACCTACTCCTATACCAACTGAACATCGCACGTCGAGGCAGTCGGTCGTTGGGCATACGTAACACGTGTCCCAGCCATCTCAACTGATGAAGTTTCACTACTTCATCAATTGATTTGCCATCATTACCTAGTACCCGTTTCCTAACAACTGCATTACTTACTCGATGGTCCCAGGATATACGAGCAACATTTCGAAGACACCTATGATCAAATACTAGTAACCTACAAATATCCTCTATTCTTACCAGCCATGTTTCACTGCCATAAAGTAGGACGGAACGAACTGCTGCGCAATAAACCCGTCCTTTGGTTGATAGACGGATATCTTGCCTACGCCATAAATGACGCAAGTTAGCAAAAGCTAGTCGAGCCTTCTGTATCCGTGCTGAGATTTCGTCACATACCAGACCACAAGGGCTGATGAGACTTACAAGATAAGGGAAGCGATTGACACGCTCATTTACTTCACTCCCTATCATTAGTTCGGGTGTCGATGCAACCCAATCCTGAAGCAACATTTTGCATTTCGAGGGGGAGAATCGCATCCCGAACATGCTTGCATTGTTGCTTAGAGTGGTCAGAATACTGCATTTTGTCAGCATCTTCGCCAAATAAAACTATGTCATCAGCATATTCTAAGTCAACAAGTGAACCTCCCGGTAGAAGTTCAACCCCTGGAAATTTAGATGAGGAGAGTGTCATCTCTAAAAGTACGTCGACCACAAAGTTGAACAAGAATGGAGAGAGTGGACAGCCCTGACGAACACCACTTGAGGTAATCAATTCTGATGACAGTTCGCCATAAGCTCTCACTCTACCAGTTGTGTTCGAGTAGAGAGCCTGAATAAGGTTAATGTACTTCTCTGGTACTCCTTTCAGTGACAAACACTGCCATAGAACCCTACGATCAACAGAGTCGAATGCCGCCCTAAGGTCGGGAAATACTACCAATGTGGGGCGTCTAAACGTGTGCCTGTGTTCTAGAACCTGACGTAGTGTGAATATTTGGTCTATACAACCACGTCCAGGTCGAAAGCCAGCCTGATTTTCTCTAGTCTGTTCTTCACGAGCTTTGGTTAGGCGTCGAAGTATTATTGAAGCTAATATTGTAAACACTATATTAGTCAAACTGATTCCTCTGTGATTGTCACAAGAGGACTTCTGTCCTTTCTTAAAAACTGGCACAATCAATGATTGAGACCAGTCAGATGGGATTACTTCCAGTTACCAAATTCTACCTAAGACCTCAGTTAATCTCATTGCTAATACTGGACCACCATCCTTAAAAATCTCAGGAGTAAACCTGTCAGGGCCTGCTGCTCTCCCTCGTTTCAGATTTCCTATGTCTTTTTCAACTTCGTAAAGAGACGGAGGACCTACATTAACTTGCCACTCAGGTTGACTAGAGATCGTGGGAAATCGAGGTGTGGCTGAAGGCCAGTTGAACTGATCCCTGAAGTGTTCTGCCCATCGATCCAAACTCCTGGATTGAGAGTGTATAAAATGTCCATCTTTCTCTGAGAGTGTTTCGCTAACAGTCGGTTTCCTAATATTTAACAAGTCTGAACAATTGTCTACCTACTTGAGCATTAAAGTCACCGGCCATTATTACTATATCTGAGCGCCTAGCTTTTCGGAGAAGGTCGGAGAGCTTTCTGTAAAACTCATCTTTTACATCATCTGCGCTGCAGTCAGTGGGAGAATAGGCAGAGACGACGAAGAGGCAACGACGAGTGTCCCTATCTTTTCGGATACTTACTGTTCCGTTTAGTCGGACAGCGCACAAACGACTGTCTACTGGGATCCACTCTAAGAGAGCTAGTTCTGCCCTAGGACTCAATGCTATGCCTACGCCGGTGAGGCCACAGGAAGCAGAATCAGGGCTTCCAGATACACGAAGTGTGAATCGAGTCGGTTATTTATTTTGTCATAGTGAGGTCAGATGAATGACGCTACTCGGATCCTGTATGCGCGTTTCGGAGACGCAGCACACATCAATGGCGCGGGATTCTAAATTCCTAGCTAAGGAAGCCTGTTGTCCTATTTGGCAGTGTTCGGACGTTAAAAGCTCCAACGTGTAGTTTAGAGCCTGGTTTCAGGAGACCAGGAATAGCGTTCCGCGTACTCGAATCGTTTGCCCTACCGGTGCGAGGTGATAAAGAAACGTGAGGAGGGTTAGTCATAGAAATAAGAGAGGTATTAGGTGTAGGAAGGATTTGAATGTGACCAACTTGGTTTCGTGCGCTGTTACGGGGATGAGGGCTGATATCACTTCCCGGCTGCTCACACCGTGGAAGGGAATTTCTTGAGGAACCTGAAAAAGAAATTGGATTAGTGTTGGTCTTAACGACCTGGGAGCGTGACCGCAGAGCCTAAGGGACAACTGCTTGAGGCCGGTCGCGCACGGCCCTTTTGTGGAAGGTTTTTAATGAGTTAGCTCCGTTCTGTAAAGGGCCTTACCGCCGGAGACGGAAATCCATGAGGTAAAGTGAGGTGTGACATTTTTAGGGTCGACCTTTTCTAACCCCACCCCTCCTTGTGGGAAGGCAGCATCGCTGCAGATGCTGGTTATCCGAGGGAAACACCTTACTGCTGTCACACCCCTCTACAGTCAGCAGTACGACTTCGCCCTCAGACCTTGAGTTGCTGCTTTTAGTCTCACCGTTCTCCAATCGACCTTCCTGGCATGGTAGAACCTACAGGAACATATATTCCAGCCAATATAGCTCGGTTGGGTCATCACGATAGGCAAGCCCGACCACCGCCTCAAGGTAGCAGCTTCGGTCGGGACATTTTGCATGACTATAGATTATTTGAACCAATTAACAAGAAACACTAGATTTAAATGTTGTGCCAGTTAGTGCTTGTCAGAAAGGTGTACATACATACTAAGTGAAGTCTCTACGACCATTGAAATTGGCGCATAAAAAAATTAATGAATCCCGTAACCTGTAGATTTACTCACAAATTTTGTACCAGAAAAGGTTACTCACAGAAACTTTACAGCAGAATTACATTCATAGACTCCTTTTTTGTGCATCATATACAGTATTGTTTTGTGTATCTATTTAATCCTGGATAAGTGGTTAAATATTTAACATCGTGTACGCGTAGAGGAAAGTGTTCACTAGTGATATGTGTTAAGAGAATTGAAATTAATTTTTGTGTTATAACCACACTAAATACGTCTAAATGATCAATGACTCAATTAACATGTACAGATTGATTTACTTGGCTTTAAGGCACACACATTTATTTAGAGGGAACACTGACTGTTTATGAAATATATACATTTAGTCTTCAATGTATTCCACAGCCAAAGCTGGTTGTGAACTATCTTCTATAGATTCTCTTCTGGTCTCACAATTATTCCGAATTCGCCGCCATTTAGGCCTTCTGAAACTCCTATCTTCGATTGTCGATTGCAGCAACTCCTACGCAGCCATTCACTGAATGCTAGTTATAAGCAATTTCGTGAGTAGCGTCCACTATACTACTACTATAATGAACGAGAACACATGTGGGGACAACTGATGTATTTAAATACAAAATTACAGACTTTCTTGGTAACATATGGGAATCATATACTTCACTCGCAAATTTCCATCATTTGTCTTTCATATTCAGTATGATTCTTCCAGTTTACAATTCCTTTGTATTTTCCCTTTTATTCTCTTCAACTCGATCTTCTTAGCCTTCTGTTGCCAGGTCTTCCACTTCTCATTGGTGTTACATACTACTTATGCTGACAGATATAAGTAGCATACACCACACTACTACTACTACTCAGTTGACTACACCGAATTAGGTAGAGCAGAGTTTCAGAGTGCAAACTTAACGATTAAAAGTTAAACATGACAACCAATGACCCGATGCTTCATTAAATGGATGAGTTAAAATTCAGTTGTAAATTTGTGGGAGAAAGAATAAAGAAAATCAAACGTACACACGATTAACGCAACATTTTAAAATGATATAAAGAAAAGAAGTTAACAACAAGAACTTACATCGTTCAAATTATTTTTTATTTGATTTAAGTCATCCAATGTTGTTTTTAATCTCTACAATGTAAACATATTACATACTTCTATGCGTGTAGAATAAGAATTACAGATATTCGTAAAGTAATAAGTGAATAGACAACTGATTTTGTAAAGGAGAGATCATATCATGAATTAATATCAGTTACTCAGATAAACCTATGGGTAGTGATTAAAAAATATAGGACTCCTTGCATTACCGAAGCTATCATGATATTCTCAGAAATAGAGAATGCCAGTTTATGTCACAATTCGAGGTGAGACTTTATATTGTATCGTATTAAACTACATGAACATAGCTTAGGAATGACATAAGACTTTTCAATCGATAGGATGTAGACAAAATGTTGATTGTCACATTAGAAGAAGTTTGGTTTTTATCTGTTACACTCAATCCACGACAATCGATCGCAATATTCAGGCTTCGTATACGCTTGCTTACCAGCAATCCAGTTGATAAAACTGAGGAATAACTTGGAAATGTAATTGGTAAAATTGAGCAGTCAAGTACACAAAACATTAATATATATATATATATATATATATATATATATATATATATATATACAAATTGTTTTTCTAAATTCAAAAAGGACATGGAAGGTGAGATCTTATGTGAGTGCACAATCAATGTCCTACAACAATGTGCAATGTTCATAATTGCTCATTTATCATTTGATAGTGAGGTATCATGTGAGTACAAGTTTAAAGTACGACTAGAACCTTTCGGTACATCATCATCATAAGCTAATATCAACTGAAAAGAGTGACCGATGTCATCCCTATCCAATCCTTTAGTGCAAATTGAATTTTATTGATCACGTTGCAATGTATTAACCATTAATCCAAGTGACAAAGTTTCTCGTCAACCACCTAAAACTACTTTAACACGCTCTTCATATCCATCAGCTATTAAACCTCAAATTAGATGGAAATTTTATAAAATATTAAAGTTACCTTCTACAAAAAAAAATTAATGCAACCTACCTGATTAGATGAGTGAAGACTGGAAGTTATATTTTGGAAGGAGTACTCAGTAGTTGGCTAAGATGAGACAAACAAAAGACAACAAAAAATAAAATCTCCACCACAGAAGTCACAAGAATAAATTCCTAATTAGTGCATACTGACGATAAATGGAATTATTACCATAGGTAGATATAAAAAGACAGTACGAAGGTCTATCAAGTTATCAACTTCTGTTTATACAGGTATTAATACAGGAGAAGCATTACTGTGATTTTAATTACAATTTTTTCTTAATATCATGGACCGATGTAAGATAGACAATCAGTGAAAAACTAGAAGCACTAGATGGCCGTTTCCTTTCAGTATGGGACTCTTCACCACTGCACATCCACGATCCCGCAACCAGGCATCTGACCCAAAACCTTCGGCCTCGTGCTCGAAACCCTGTCCTCCAACGATGTAAAAATTTAATTTCAATCAATTAATATCACTGAACGACCATCTTTGGAAAGTAACTTCCTCACAGCTGATACGGTTGAACTCCACTCGTTACGGCTTGTCATTAGACCTCCGACAATTTGCTCTCGAAGCTATCCACTGGTGAACACATGATAATTATCAGTATAGGGTTGTGGGAATTATCGAAGCTCATTGATATCACGAAATAATTTAAGTTAGACAACAATCTAAAATCTGGAAGCACTGGACGGCCTCTCACTACGTTCAGTGTGACCTGCTAAAGTCCCATACTAGGACGATGGTTGTCTAACTTATATCGGTTAGTGACGTCAATAAAATTCAACAATCTCCACAACCCTATACTGGTAATATTAGCCAATCAGAAACAAGGAGACTGGTTTTGGTGGGAAATTCAAAAATGGATTATTTTAATGCTTCACTATAAAAAAATACGAGATATATTTAGAATTGTTGGTTATCATCGAGTAAAAGTGATGATGTTGAGCGTTTTAAGTAATCGTATTTTTATACACAAACTTCACATAAAACACGATTTAATCAGTTTCCACTTTTGTGTTATAGTAAAATCGCAAAGAGCTCATTTTATTAGTGGTTCACTGGAATAAACTTCGCCTGTAGCTCTTCTACAGTTATTGCCGATTCCAAGTTCGGGTAAAGGAGGAGGGTTGGGCATGGGGTCCACAACTCTGTCCCGTAGAAGAAATCTTGCCAAAAAACGCCAACCAGACTAAATAAACTGGACCATTTAATCTCTGCCCTCCGAGTTGAGAAAAGAATTATGATGTTCCACATACAGGGGGTCGCTCTGATACTGTCCAAAGAAGCACATAAAGCACTTATAGAATAGAAGTCTCATGGATACAGGATCTTTAAGGCAACCTTACAAACAAAGAAGGGAATTACGATGAATGTGTAACCGCCGATTAGAGGGCAGTGACTTATCGATCGGGCCAAGGACGTATAAAACACGTGGGAGCAGCCTAGAGTCCTGATTTTCGCCTAGCCCAACTAGTTAAGTCCAGAACACCAATCCGAACCTCTGAGATATGAATCATTAGATTTCAAACATACTGAGTTTATATACCAATCAAACAGACCACAACATACTAATAAAATATGAAACGACATTTGTACAAGAATTAACCAGATGTGACTGTGAATGAGGCAGTGACTAATAGACAGGGAATAATTCAAGAATGGAAATTCGTATAATAACAGTTAATAGGTTAAAATAAAGCTTATGATAAGAGAGACATGAATATGAATAGTTTAGTTAATTAACAAATATACGTAAAGTATTGGTCCACAAATGGATCCCAAAAATTACCACTCATTATTCTTATCGGGGCATAACAGAATGCTATCCAATGTTATGCACCCACCGATGATAGCAAAGATAACAATAAAGATAAGTTCTACTAGAGGCTGCAATTATTCACAGTGAAAAAAGGATTTCACTATCTTGTTGGGAGGCCTAAACGCCAAAGTTGGATTGGACAGCACCGGATACGAAGATATCATGGGACGATATAGACTGACTAGGAGAAAGGAACGAGGATGTTGAGAGATTCGTAAATTTATGTACATTCAACAAAATGGTTATACGCCGCATAATATTCCCACACAAACATATGCAGAGCTAAATTGATTTCACCGGATCAAATTACACAGAACCAAACAGATCATATTTTTATCAATAAAAAACTCAGGAGGTCAACAAAAGACGTGAGAACCAGGTTCAGTACAGTCTTCCTTCGACATACTGACAAAATAAATCAATTCAAGATAACTCTGAACAACAGGTTCTAAGCCTTACAACATTTACTGAAAGAAAAAGAAACTACTATGGCGGACAATTGGAAAGGGACAAAAGAACACCAAGTTCAACACGTCAGGAGGTTCTGAGCCACAAGAAGCACCATCATAAGGAGTGGATCTCTACCAAAACCCTGGACAGGATTCAATAAAGAAAGAGCAAGAACAGAGAAAGTCAAGGCAGAAGCTGAATACACAGTAAAAAAGTAAGCAAATGAAGAAGAGCATTAGAGCCGACAAGCAGAACTATGTGTAGGACCTAACAATCACAGTGGAAAAGGTTGCAAGGGAACGAAATATGAGACGACTATGTGACAAAATGAAGGAACCAGTAGCAAAATATTGTAAACCATAGAGACCGGTCAAGGACAAGTAAGGCACGACAATCACCGAGATTCAAGAACAGAGGAACAGATGCGTAGAATACTTCGAGGGACTCTTGAATAGACCAGCCTCATTGAATCCACCGGACATCGAAGCAGCATCTACAGCCCTTTCTATAAATGCCACTCCACCGACAACGAAAGAAATCAGGTTGGTCATCAGAAAAATCAAGAGCGGGAAAGCAGCATGACCTAACAATATACCAGATGAAGCACTGAAGTCAGACATAAAAGTAAATGCAAACATTCTCCACGTTCGATTCAAGAAGATTCGGGAGGAGTAAAGAGTGTCGATAGACTCGAGGGAAGGATACCTCATCAAAACACCAAAGAAAAGAGATCTGAGCAAATGTGAGAACTACAGAGGCATCACGCTACTGTCAGTACCAGGAAACGTTTTCAATAGTATTACTGAACCGGATGAAAGACTCAGTAGATGCCCAAATTCGAGATCAACAGGTTGGATTCCGTAAGGATCGGTCGTGCACAGATCAAATCGCGACAGTACGGATCATCATTGAGCAATCAATTGAGTGGAATTCGTCACTATACATCAACGTCCCTGAATATGAGTAGTGTGGGTAGTAGAATCTTAAGGAACCTTCTTTGACACTATGGAGTACCTGAGAAAATCGCCAACATTATCCGGAATTCATACGACAAACTACAGTGCAAAGTCGTGCATGGAGGACAGTTGACAGATGCATTCCAAGTAAGGACTAGAGTCAGACAAAACTGCTTACTCTCCACCTCCTTTTTCTTCTGGTTGACTGGATTGTGAAGACCTCCACACCTGAGAGAAAGCACGAAATACAATGGACAGTTAAGAATCAACTAGACGATTTGGACTTCGCAGATGACCTGGCCCTTCTATCACATACACACGAACAAATGCAGATGAAGACAATTAGTGTAGCAGCATCCTCTGCAGCAGTAAGCCTTAACATACACAAGGAGAAAAGCAAGATCTCCAAATACAATACAGAGAACACGAATGTAACCACACTTGATGGAGAAACTCTGGAAGATGTGGAAACATTCATGTATCGTGTTAGCGTCATCGATGAACAAGGAGGATCTGATGCAGACGTAGAGGCAAAGATTTGCAAAGCATGGACAGCATTCCAACGGTTGAAGAACATATGGAACCCAAAACAATTGTCAACCAACACCAAAGTGAGAATCTTCAATACGAACGTCAAGACAGTCCTATTGTACGGAGCTGAAACTTAGAGAACTATTACAATTATCATCAGGAAGGTACAAGTATTTATAAAAAATTGTCTACACAAGATACTCAATGTCCGTTGGTTGGATACCACCGCCAACAGCCTACTTTGGGAAAGAACAAACCAGATTCCAGAAATTAGGAAAAGAAGATGAAAGTGGATAGGAGATACATTCTGGAGATCACTGAACTGCATCACGAAGCAAGTACTAACTTGGAATCCTGAAGAGAAACGAAAAAGAAGAAGACCAAGGAATACATTGCGTCGGATATTGGAGGCAGACATGAAAAAGATGAATAACGACTGGAAATTATTACCCAGGACAGGGTTGGATAGAGAGTGCTGATGGGCAGCCTATGCTCCCCCAGAAGTGGTAACAGGCGTAAGTAATCTCTCACTGGAATAGCAGACAACCTGGTAAAGTAGGAATGCCGAAAGAGAGCTATTTTTTTAATACAAATTCTTCGTGTTCGTAATGGCCATAGTGATAGTATGTTTGTAATTTTACCTTCGTAAATCCTCAACGAATCAGATTTTATAAGTGATGACTATTTAAAGGTACGAGCAAAACTTGAAGAGAAACGTTTTCTGTGAATAAACACCCACCCAGATCTATAGTGTTATATATAGTTCTACAATATTGAAATGAGAAAACCGATAATAGGACTTGGAAAACCAGTAATCCCAAAATAATTGGATTCTAACAGATTGTTCTTAGTTCTGTTATGAAATACATTTGATTGATACAGGCTTTCTGCTGATTAGCTAAAACAAAAATGGCTTCAAAACCATACGGTCATTATAAAAAAAATCGCTCAACCTAACACATACACACTAAAGCTTGACCGATTCTGCATAAACTAGGCAAAATAAACATACCTGACCAGTAGCAGAAGTTAAGCGAAGTGATGATGCATTTTGCTTATCAAGTTGACGAAAACGTATCCATGTAGCGCTAAAACCAATCAAACCAGCAGCTAAACTAAATCCAACAGTCCATTGTCGCATTCGGCTAGCTTGAATGCGTTCTTCAGCTTGTGAATGACGTAGAATACTAGAGAATTGTTCAAATGTTACTTGTTCAGCTAATTCAATAGATGTTAACTTATCACGAGCTTGTTGGTGTTGACGTGAAAGCTACAATTGATTATATATGAAGAAGACATCACTCATCTTTTAAATTGTGAATCATAAATAGATATACATTTTAGTCAGAAAATGAAATAACATTCAATACAATAATTGATTTGAATGATGGAATGGTGAATCTTTATCGAATGAAATGGTTGGGATACATATTAGACATGCTCAACTATCAACTGCCTGGATATGTTGGGTTGGACGAAAGCTAGAGACAGTCGAACCGAAACATGGCATCAGTCCATTAAATCGCTGACTGTTAGATTGAGACGAATAGATTTATGCAGACTATCTAGTTGGGGTTTTATGCTATGAATATGACATAACTAAGAATCGGTTGAAATAACATAGATATATTCATCTTTCCTATTTACTGTGATCTTTGATGTTTCATGTACTTTGTGTCATTGGTGAGGAGGAGGAATAGAGTTTCCTTTGTTAAGCTTGATTCAGTTGAGGTGTATAAGGCTGTTACACCAAGGGATGTTAGCAGTTCGTCGTTGTTGATCTGAATCTCCTCAAGATCGTTCGAGAATTGTATGGGATATTTTATGGAGTGATTGGATGAATCCACTAAATTTTTCAATATTTTTGTAATTTATTTGGATAAATTGTATGTTAGGGTTCTGTGGAGTGATAGAAATGGACGTAGTGGGATGTTTGGTTTGTGTATCTGTAGCCTACCGTAGAGTCGAATGAGTAATGGTTCACTGGATTTCATTCTCCATTGATCTTGGTTTGATATTTGTTCAGCTTTGACGAGCTTGTTTAAAGTCCTTTAAATTCGTTTGCCTAACCTTTTGATTGGACTTGTGTCCACTGATTTATATGCTATTTTGTCCTCAAGTAGTTCCTCGGCTTTCCTGATATATTCTATTATGTCCATATTCATTGTAGCCCATCCTTTGTCCGCTGAACAATATCTTCTCTGGTTCTAAGATTTTTTAAGCCTTTTTGTTCTTGTGCGGTCATTTGGATGTTTTTATTTTTCCTGAGTTAGCGGTACTATGGTTTGTCTTATTTTCTGTTGACCCTTCATTTATTCCGGATTTTTTGAGTAGTGACTCTAGTGCAGCGTAAAATTCTATTTTTGAAGCGTCACTTGTATTGTACTTCAGTCCTTTTCGGATGAAGTGTTCTTTCATGTTCATCAGAGGTTGTTCTGACAGGTTGACTAGGCAGTTGTTTGTGTATTCTTTTATGGGTAGCTTTGGAATCTTCACTAGTTTTTCCTTAAAAGTGTTCCTTCCGCACCACACAAATTTCATTCTATTTGTGTGTAGGCTGTGACACATTAAAAAGACCAATTAGAACTGAATTGAGTAACGAGAAAACCAAAAATAGGTTCCAGGAACAACTGAGTTCACACTTAGGTAATTCTGAAGACGAGGCTGACCCAGATGTTGCTTGGAAAGACATACAAGCAGCTGTGGAAGCAGCTGTGACATCTATTAGCAACTTAAACCACAGAGTTTCAAAGGACCAGTGGATTTCTTCAAAGTCTATCACACTGATGGATTCTCGCAAACTCGTCCCATCAGGTTCCGAACATGATGAAGAGCGACAACAAATCAGATCTAGGTTAAGAAAAAGTCTAAGAAACGACCGTGAGCAGTGGTGGGCAACGAAAGCAAAAGAGATGGAAAAGGCGGCGACTATAGGGAACACAAGACAGCTTTACAGACTAATAAAAGAAACTGGAATTAATAAGTCAAGTGTAAGTGAGATTATATCAGAAAAAGACGATACACTCATCTGCTCCCAGTCCAGGCGTTTAGAACGATGGGCTGAACATTTCAGAGAACAGTTCAGCCGGCCTTCAGCTACTCTACAACTACCCTCCATTCCCAGACAGCGTGAATGGAACATTGAAGTAGGTCCCCCAACTCTTGCTGAAGTTCATAAGGCTATAGATAATCTGAAACGAGGAAGGGCTGCTGGTCCAGATGGATTGGTTCCAGAAGTCTTTAAGGATGGTGGTCCAATTTTAGCGGTTAGGTTGACTAATATTTTAGCTAAGATCTGGGAGTTAGACGTTATTCCATCTGACTGGTCACAATCACTTATCGTCCCAATATATAAGAAAGGGTCAAAATCATCCTGTGACAACCACAGAGGGATTAGTTTAACTAATATAATATCTAAAATACTAGCCTCAATAATAATCAAACGCCTAACTAAAACTCGTGAACTCCAAACACGAGAAAATCAAGCTGGCTTCAGACCAGGTCGTGGCTGCATCGACCACATATTCACCATTCGTCAGGTTCTAGAACACAGGCATACTTATCGACGTCCGACAATGGTGGTCTTTCTTGACTTAAAAGCAGCATTTGACTCTGTAGACCGCGAGATTCTGTGGCAGTGTCTGTCATTGAAAGGCGTACCCCAGAAGTACATAAACCTTGTAAAGGCTCTTTACTCGAACACTACTAGTCGAGTGAGAGCTTATGGCGAACTGTCATCTAGTTTTGCAACCTCAAGTGGTGTCCGTCAAGGATGTCCACTTTCCCCATTTTTGTTTAACTTCATCATAGATCTACTGATGGAAATAACTTTGTCGTCGACTGAGTTCTCGGGTATTGATCTCCTTCCAGGAAGTCCACTTATCGACTTAGAATACGCAGATGACATAGTCCTGTTTGGTGAAGACGCTGACAAAATGCAGAGTCTTCTAGTAGCACTGAGCAACAATGCCAGGATGTTTGGAATGCGCTTCTCTCCCTCGAAATGCAAGTTGTTGCTTCAGGACTGGTCTGCATCAACACCTGAACTAAGGATAGGGAGTGAAGTAGTCGAACGCGTTGACAACTTCACTTATCTTGGAAGTCTGATCAGCCCTAATGGGTTGGTATCGGACGAAATCTTAGCACGGATTCGAAAAGCTCGTTTGGCTTTTGCCAACTTACGTCACCTGTGGCGAAGGCGAGATATCCGTCTATCAATAAAAGGACGAGTATACTGCGCGGCAGTCCGTTCTGTCTTACTTTATGGTAGCGAAACATGGCCATTAAGAGTAGAAGACACTCGTAAGCTATTAGTATTTGACCACAGATGCCTAAGAAATATTGCTGGCGTCTGCTGGGATAACCGGGTAAGTAATAGTGAGGTTAGACGCAGGGTATTAGGAAAGGATGGTAAATCAGTTGATGAGGTTATGAATCTTCATCGACTGAGATGGTTGGGCCACGTGTTACGTATGCCTGAACACCGATTACCACGACGTGCAATGCTATCCAGTATTGGAAATGGTTGGAAGAAAGTTAGGGGCGGCCAAACCAAAACGTGGCATCAGTGCTTGAAGTCACTAACCTCTAGTCTGAGCCATGTTGGTAGATGCAGACTACTTGGTTGGGGTCCGCGTGACTATCGTAACCAATGGTTGGAGACTCTTAGTGACATGGCTAAGAATCGATCACAATGGCGTCAGTGTATACACTCCCTGTCTTCCCTTAAAGTAAGAGATTAAAATCGCTTCATATCTTTCTTGCTACGAACCAATTCTTTCTTCTTGTACTATATCTCTATGTGCAATCTTTCTCTTATATATTACCACCTTTTACCTAACCACTGTTATGAATCTGGTGTTCATCTTGTTGTGTTGATGCGGTATGGCAACCTGGACCGATGCACACATGTGCCTGGTCCTACGTTGTAGCTGACTGACTGACTGACTGTGATACTGACCGAATGCCCAGACCGATGCAGGTGGTTTTTTTAGAGGGCTACACCCCACGCCTTTAACCTAAAGGTCTGACCCACAAAGCAGTGGAACATCGTGAGGAGATGCAGTCCTATGGTAGTCGGTGACCAACAATTAGTTCATACGCCATTTGTTCCCACAGGATACTGGAGACCAAGTGCACCATTGGTTTGGAATCCGGATAAAGCGCCGGACATTCGCTGTTCGTCCTCCCATTTTCAAAAACAACACCCCCTGCCGCGAGAAGGCGGTGAGTAGGAATTCCCTGGCAGAGGCTGTATACGCGTGGCCGTGTGAGAGGGAGGGCGGGCCCTCCCCACTCTCGCCCATACCAGAGCATTTGGGGGCTGATGTTGATGAGATTTAGACCCAGAATCCTTCGCTTCAAGAGCTAACGCGTTATCCAGTTAGCCACTGAATCCGAATGGTTACACACTTGTACAATGTGTACGAATTTCTGATTTAATATGTAGTTTTTTTTTTAATTATCCCATTATTTATAATTTGATCGACTCTGGGATGTGGCAAGTATATACATTTGAAGAGTCCCAAATAAGCCGCAACCCGTATCTTGGACTCCACCACTAGCCACATTTCATCTGTTCTATGTACGCTTGTGTCATATTTATAGGTTGTTCAAAAGAAATTTTGAAGGAATATAAGGGTAGCCAAATCAAGACTTGGGACTAATCTATGAAGTCAATGACCGCTATTTTACGCTGTACTACTCAGTTAGAGTCCACCCGACAACCGCGATAAGTGGTTGGGGACATTGGATAACATGCCCCACAATGGCGCATATGAATATGCATTTGACCTTTATCTTCCTTCAGATCTTCAGCTTTAGTGCTCCTTCACGGATAACTTATCAATTATTTTCTAACTATATTCCCAGTGTTTAATAATTCACAACATCATTGATAACACTGCTATTTCGGATCTTGTTATTTATCGTATTCATTACATCTGGTTATGCTAACGTGGCACGGGAACTTGCGTTGACGAACATTTGTGTCGTGCCGTATGTTGATTGTGAGTGACTGACTAGTTTGTCTGTTAGAAACAATAGAATTCAAAAAAATAGGTATTACCTATAGATGAGTTATATGCTAGCCACTTGTAAGTAATACTATGATGCAATCAACCATAGTATCAAGTAGATGACACTGTAATCTGAAGTGACGGATTTAAAACTTGTGAATCAGATAATATTATAAACATTTATCTGAACTGTGAATATCGAATTCGCTTATTTCGAAATGCTGTTTGCTGGTGTAGGAGTAAATTGGAAGAAGACCAAGGGGAACTAAACCAAAACATAGTATCAGCCCCCATAATAGCCATTGACTTGTGGAAGGAGTTTTGGTAAGTGCTGACACATAAATAAGCTCTGGGCAGTGGACAAGATAAGTGATTGAGAAATCTTGATAATGTTCCTCGATTCCTAATGTTTTATACTACCACTTATACTGGCTACTACTATTCTGGCATTTGTTTTGATAATTTTATCTCGCTGTGATGATATAATATGACAAACTGGACAAATGCTCATGTTAGCCTAGTTCAATGTTGCATATGATTGACTGATTGATAAAGCACCATGTAGGATTAAACACGTAGGTCATCTGATCAACTATCAGTTACAGCTGAATACTATATCTTAGCTAGATCATACTAAATCATTCTACATTAAGTTAAAAAAGTTGAACTTTCAAACTTTGTCGAGTAATTCATAACACTTTACCAAAACATAATTACGATAAGAAACCAAAATGATTATTTACCTCATGCAACTCTGTAACTAATTTCAAAAAACTTTCATCACTACGTTTAACACTATCTAGTTGAATGTTAATTTGATTTCTAGCTTCTTCTAACTGAAACACTTCCGTTTGACAAGCTCTTCTTTCGACTTGTTTCTGTACGAAGTTTCTTTCAGCCTATAATTTGAAGGAAAAAAGTAAAAGCGTTAGGAAAATGTTAAATATTCAACATCCCGCTTATATATAAATGGGATAAGGAATATGAACAAATCAGGATAACAAAACATAAGCTTTACATATTTGAGGAAAAGCACAAACATGCAAAAAAAATCGGTAACATTTTATGAAAACAGTGTAATAAAACAAAGAGAGAAGGATATTTCATCAGTACAACAATCAACCAAAAAAGTACGAAGAGAAACTTCCACTACTCAGCTGATTTACGATTCAAGTAGCGAATCAAAGTGAATTGCAGTCTATACAGCAGTGGTTTGAATTTTCAAACGAAATTCAGTTTTTTTGTTGATGAACCCATTTACATCTTGTTTTATGGGTAAAGTATACTACTGCTGTGCCTGAGAGTGACCACGTTATTCCTGGAAGAGAATCTGGGCATTATATTTCATCTACAGAAAAATACTGGCTGGTAAAAAGATTTAATCGTAAAACATGACTTACTTCAGCGACTCCAACATGTAAGGATCTAACACGATCCAATCCAGTTAGATTATCGTAAATTTCATAAAGTCGACGATAGTCCGTAGATTTTAGTTTTTCATACGATTCAATAATAGATTGTCTAACAACAGCCGGAAAATTCACAAGATTCTTTACTAATCGCATGGGTAAATTTGGAAGCATGGCTTGAATTGAAACACCTATAGGGAAGTAATTTGATGGGTGACAGTTCATAACACTGAATAACCACCACAAAATGAAGTAATTGTACAGAATTTTATTTGGAACACGTACACATTTGTCAATATATTTATTTCAATTACTTAATACTTTTCATTTTGTACGAAAATGCTACTTCGACTTTACCACATATCTCATCAACAACAACCGATGAGAATAACCGGACATACAGTGATATTACCTGCCATTACTTTATTAAACTGATGGGAATCACTTCTACGCTATACTCTGATCAAACAGGTTTCGATAGCAAGTTCTACATTTTTCAATGTCATAGCTGGTTTAGGTTAATACGATAAGGCGGAAACAACACAAATAAAATGAGAATATAAAACCATATTGAAGATAAATTAATGGCAAGTTTTAATGTCCACCCCTATTCATTGATGTTTTTCCTAATTAAGTACTGTATGCCATACATAGTCATCTAGGATTTAGTACTAATTAAAAATAGAGATCTCTAATAAATCCCTTTGGTATTTTTAATGCCTTAAAATTATGATCAGGTTTCACTTTATTAGGATTTTGAAATCTTTATAGATGAAGAGATGCAGCTTTGGGATCACGAGTTCCTCGTCATAGGACCGAAAAAGAGATCAAGTTTAACTTAGTGTTTACTTTGATGCAGAATCAGCAAAACCATACTATACAGACGGCCTTAAGCAACATAGACATTAACTAGTCAGAAAACAGGCGATCAAAATGAAGATTTATGAAATGGTTTTAAAATACAAAACAATGATGAAATTACAGAGGATTAAGAGTTTTGACACAATAAACGAACTTCTACCCGAATTGTGTGCTGACTTTGTTCAGAAGAACAATGAAAGCGCCAAGACCAAACCATCCAGCTCAGAGAACGAAACTACACCTAAGCTACAAATTCCCATCTCAAAAATCGGCTTTATTCTAGCTGCTAAAGATAAGACTCCGTAACCCTAACTCCTGACTTTAATGCTTACGACACTAACTTCTATAACCTAGATTTAAATCCTAAAGTACTAACCCTAATAGTTTATTCAGTGAGACTGATTTATGGACGAAATCTGATTGACGCTACATTGACCCTGATAATGTTCACTTACTTGGTTATACGCAAGTGTGAGAAATCAAGAATGACTTACAGCCGTGTGTCGGAATTAAGAGCCAGATTCAGGTTTTTAATCACGAACTGACATCGGCTATAATGCCTAAGTAAGATTTAGCCGAATGAATGGATAAATTTCGCCCCCAAATCCATGATTGGTGATATTAACTTTGATTGGTTCGTCTATCGGCCAATATGACATCATATTGCTGTCTAAACACATTAGCACGGTATTGCGATACAGACTTTATTAAATAAATAAAAATTTTGAAAAGTACAGACCGAAAGATTGATAAACTTGGTGGTTATTTTAGATAACGAAGCAAGTTTAAAAGAAATCATAGATCCTGAGCCATCATAATCGGTAATCACTTACAAATATATTATTATATATGTAGTTCCAAGTTTGCGAAAGTCGAAGGCATAATGCAAACGGGAAGACAGTAAAATTGTTTGTATGAGACCTGTTAGCTACGTGTCTGTGCACCTGATTTCACGTAAATATACCCAACCCCTCTACTACTTTTTAAGTTTGAAAGGGATCAACATCCGGCTTAAGAGATATACCTAGATCAACGACGAGTCAACACGAAAAACTAAGAGCCAACATGTGATGTGACCAAAATTCGTATTTGCACTTACACAATGGACAGTACGAAGTGGATTACCAAGCGTAACCAAGAAGGAATACGCTGACTAATTCATGCATGGCCGTTAAACTTTGATAGTTTAAAATCCAAAAATGTAGAGAGGCAAGCAGTCCACTTCAAGAGCCAGCTTAGTGACCCTGAGTTCAAAATTGTAACGACCTTCAAAAATGTATTAAAAAACGTTGGTGAAGTCATGTTATTTGGCCTAATGAGGCAATTGTGAATTGATGAAAAACATTAGTGAAGGAGAGAATGAACGAGGAAACTTGATCGTTTTGATTTATTTTAACTAGAAAATTTAATGTTGATGCTATCGTTGCCGATCTGATCTGAATAAATAGCTCTGTAAGTTTTTGACATTGGATGCTGACCACATTAGCTTTAGTGGACTCATTTAGCTGAAGGCACTCGGTCATGCGATCACACCAGATCACGAGTGGGAACGCCGTGCTCAACAACCCGTGCAATCGCTAACCAGACTCGATCAGACGGTCCTCTATATGTAGATAGTTAAATAAATATATTGTAGCGGTAAATAAATCCCCAAAATAAATAGCTCTGTAAGTTTTCGACATTGGATGCTGATCATATGTTTTAGTGGACTCATCTAGCTGAAGGCGCTCGGTCATGCATCCGCACCAGATCACGAGTGGTAACACTGTGATCAACATCTATCGCAATCGCTAGCCAGATTGGATCAGAGAATCCCGATATATTGGTTATCGCTAAATACACTTTTCCGATCTCCTCGACTCTGTCTTTTGATTTCTCTCGGTGGGAACAAATTATATTAGGTGTTACTGGTAGAAGCGTTGTCAAACACTGAATACCTGTATTATCCTCAATATTTTCGAACCTCCTCGCTTCTGTCTTTTGATTTCACTTGATGGGTAAGACTCATATTAAAAGGTGTTACTGGTTAAAGCGTTGTTAAACTCCAAATACCTGTGGCATCTTCATTATCAAACTTTAGGGTAAAATCAACGTTCCGGCTACATAGTTTGTACTGACAACACCGTTTATGATAATTGTTTGATTCATTATGAAACTCCGATTGAACAACCTAGGTAAATGAATCCTGAACGATCAAATGATCCACGCTTGCCTTTAATATTCTCCATGACAAGTGGGAGTGACAAGATCGCTTTGTCTTCTTAAGAAAAAAAACACGCTTAATTTTCGAAAATGGGAAGTAGCAAAATTACATGGGGCTTGACTCCGGTACCAGATCGATATAACAAGCTGGATGAAACATTAGAAATTTGTGGATGGGTTCAACAGGTCCGAAAACCAACCAGGGGGAATAATACACTTCATTTAATGTTCACAATCTACATAGACTCTATCTCAGTGCATACCAGTCATGAGTTTTTTATGAGTGACCATAGAGATGTTTTGAGTATTATTCACTCTTTAAACGCCATACAATTGAATTCCAAGGCTTCAATGTCGTACCAGAGCAGATATTTTGATCAACAAACATGGAAACGGACTGAAACCCTCATTCAATGTTTACCATGGGAAACTTATTTTACCACAAATAATGTTGACATCGCGCTTTCCAATCTATATCACAACCTGATATATTGTCTTGACTGCACTGCTCCAGTTATTGACCGTGTGGCTTATAATGCTAATAGGGGCCAAAATACTTTTAAAAGAAAGCTGAGGAAATTAAAATACCGCTACTATGAGCAGAATGATGTGTATGCACTTCAGAGTATACTTAAATTAATCGACAGAAATGCTTCATCTAAACGTAAGTATTTCATGAATATAGAAAATAAAGCTCTACGTAGTAAAAGCCCAGAATTATCAATACTTCGACTTTTTAAATCCCGTGTAAAGTCAAATCCCCTTGGCACGACCAAATTCTTCATAGTTAACGGAAGCATTGTTAACGACCCGAATACTATATGCGAACAATTCAGCAAGCACTTCTCGCAGTGCTACAAAACTGGAACTGAAAGCTCCAGCATTACATTTCCAATGCTAACATCCAGACATCTGTCGAAAATTGATTTCACACCCTTCGCCATCAAGCAGGCCATAACTGCCCTGAAAAAGTCTTATGATGGTGGACCTGACGGGATACCTACACCATTTGTGAAATATGGAAGTAGAGAATTTCCAATATTTTGTTTGAAACTTTTCAATCTATCTATGGAATATGGGACCTATCCATCTGTATGGAAAACATCCCTTATCACCCCTAGATTCTAAACAGGACCACGTAGTGATATTATTAACTATAGGCCAATTAATTTGACATCCGTGCTCTCAAGAACCATGGAAAAAATCATCCACAAACAGCTACTATCATTTTTACTTTCAGCTAGTCTGATCAGCCCATCCCAACATGGGTTCATGATTAAACGCTCATGTTTCACATCGCACCTGGAGTTTTTTGATCAAATTACCCAGAGAAGAGATGTTGGTCAGTCAGTGATAATTCTTTACTTCGATTTTAGTAAGGCTTTCGACAGTGTCTCACACAAACTTCTTCTTTTAAAACTCTCTTCATTTGGCATACAGAATCCCCTTTTATCTTGGCTCAAATCTTTTTTAGAAGAATGTAGCCAAATCGTTCGCTTTGGATCTTGCTACTCTAAACCTGTAAATGTAACCAGTGGGGTTATACAAGGAAGTGTGGTTGGTCCACTACTCTTTCTCCTTTTTATCAATGATGTGTGTTCCCTCTTTCAGTATGGTAAGCCTTTCCTTTTTGCTGATGACCTGAAAGTAGTTTATTCATTCTCTTCTCCCATGAAAGAAAGCTATATTTCAGCGGTAATCCAGGAGGAAATAAACAAGTTGTACGAATGGACTATTTCGTGGAATATGCCACTTAATGTTGACAAAAGTGGATTTATTCACATTGGTCGCTGTCTTAACTTAAATCTGAGTGTACAGACACATACACTCAAACCTCTCAACACTGTTCGTGACCTGGGTTTAAGATATAGCAACAGTCTGAACTTTTCTGAACATATTATATCTCAAGTATCCGAAGCTAGAAAGCTCATCGGATTGATAATGATAAACTTCAATAATATCGAATCGAGATTGTTACTATACAGAAAATGTATCTTACCCATTCTTGAATATGGTATTTTAGTTTACAGTAATTGTAGACATAATGATCTGATTAGAATTGAAGGTGTTCAAAGAAATTTCACCAAAGCTGTTCTGGGGTATTCCGATAACAAAGACTATTACCAAAGATGTCAACAACTCAACTTAGAACCTCTTTGGATCAGACGTCTCAAATTAAATCTTGTCTTTATCTACCGGCTCATTAACGGTATTTCCTACTCATCGGTATCCACCCCTTCATACCTTATAATATCATCCCACAATCTACGCAATAAGGAGAACATTCTAGTGATTCCAAGAACCCACACAAACTTACGTCAGAATTTTTTCCTTATTCGCTACTCAACCATGTGGAACAGACTGCCAGTTAACCTCCGTTGCAGTGAAACTACAACCCGGTTCAAAAGTCTCCTTGACGATTTTCTTTCCGAAAGTGGATTATGTCACCTATTGAATATCAATGTATTCAATAATGATTTAGACAAACAAGGTCCGTCATCTATTTAATTGCTTGAAAAGCAAAAAAAACTTTAAATCTTTTCACGTCTATTTTGTATTATTTCTCTTTATCTTAATATATGAAGTCTGCTTATGTTCGTGTTTATCATTATTACCGTTATTAATATCATTATTAATTCCCCGACACATTAGATATTCTCTTTATCTCTTCTTATCCTTCTAAACATATTTAACTCCAGATTGTCCTTTGAAATCATTTTGACTTTCATATCATCAATCTTAATTATTATTGCACAAATATTTATACTAATATCCGGTTTCATTCTGTATACTATTACATAAATCTAAATGTATTCATCCGAGTGCTTTAAAGGATTTTTATTTTATTTTTTCAATTGCTGGTTTCCTTCTGAGGTTGATATTCATTACACAATTATTATTCTTACCATGAATGAACCTTTTCACTAGGTGTTCACTTCTTTCCTCTCTCTTCTTTCCCTCTGAATAAATCTTATTCTTAAGATTACAAAGTTTGTAATTAAAACAATAACTTGTGTTACACTTTAATTAACTTCTCAGATTCGTTTTATCTTCACTATGCATATATGACTCATACAGAGTGATATTTTATTATCCTTTTCACTTAATTGTGACTTTCATAGCATCATTCTAAACGATAACTGCACAAACATTTATTCTAGCGTCATATCTTACTACAATGATCAATTATTTTTTGTTACTAATTTAACGATACACACATAGTCGTTTATTCTTGTTCTGTGTTTATAAACACGCCTATTACACTGTTTGCGTATTTCACCTCTTCCTTATTTCTATTCCCTTATTTTCTCCATTTCCTTCTTTAAACTCAATTCAACATTCTTCTCAATTACACAGACCCGATTTATTATTATTAATATTCTACTATTATTATTCTAAATTTTTTTTTATTTTATTTTATTTTTTCAAATATGGCAAGTATAATGCTAACATTATTGAAAATTGTGTATTATTGCACTTTCTGAAGAAACCCGAAATGGTTTCTTCACAACACTTATGTACCCATAAGGTGTTTGTGAATAATAATAATAATAATAATAATAATAATAATAATAAGTGCATTTTATAATGCTGTAAGAATTCAATTTTCTTTACAAGGGCTTGTAAACATTTGACCGATATTTTTTCAGGTCATTGCAGATACTCATCACTCCTTGGGAAAGAAGGATAGTAATTTAAGTCTATTCAACTGTGGTTTCTGACGGCTTTCGAAATTCACTTTAAGAAAATTAATCACATCAGCAGCAAAATAATAAACAAGGTAGCCTAACATTCATTCTCACGCCTACAGTAATCACGCTTAAACTGACCTAAAACATTAATTGGAGGCCTTGAACATTGGTCATCATTTATCTTGTTTGTCTGCGTTATGGTTATTCAAGAATTCTATTCACGCCTCTTCAAAGTTCCTACTTTCGAAATGCCCTGCGATGTGGTCTCCTACCTAAGCGTTTGAAAAACATTCATGGAAAAAATCCCTTTGTTTTAACCTTTTGAAAGGCGTTACTAAATCTTGGTAGGTCAATAGCGTAGCTTGCCTAGTAAAATTACGAAG